AAGCAGAAAAAAGAGTTACAGGAAAAAATGAAGTTGCTGGAAGCTCGTAGGAAGAAGACAGCGCCTGCAGGTCAGATTTCTTCGACCGCGAAGCAGGGCGCGATAAAAACGCCGTCAGTGCAAGTTTCAAAAGCACCAAGTACAGAGCCAGTCTCGCGAATGTCCGCGGTCATACCTTCAGCGTTATCGAAGCCCGCGCTGGTCGCGCAACCGCCAGTTGAAGAAAGAACATCAAAGCAGGGTGCTGCCAAAGATGCCGCCGAGAGTGTCTTGGCAATGATGAGTGCGGCGCGAAATCTTCACAAATCGAAACTGGAATCCGAGATCGCTGTGGAAGAGACTGTGCTGGCAGCGACGCAGGCGGAGGTTGCCCGAAACGAAGTATCTATCAATAACGTCGCAAATGAGCTTCGAACGGTGAGGGAAAAACGAGAAGAACTGGCACAGGGCATAGCTCGCCGCAAAGAGCAAATAGCTGCCCTCAACCGGCAGGTTGAAGAGGACGAACAAGAGACCGTTAAGTTATTGAAAGCAGAAGCTGAGATCGCAAATCGGCTTTCGGTTTTGAAAAAGCAAGCCCTTAGCAAAGGGAGTTCAATTCCAGACTTACATCGCGGCATTAATGCAAAGCGCGCTGAGATCCTGAAGCTTTCAGTTGAATCTGATAGCGACAAGGGCAGTAAGCCATGTATAGTGAAGTCGCTGGGAAAGCGTTTTTGCTCAGATGGTGAACAGTCGAGTGCGAAACGACCAAAAACTATCAAGGTTTCCGACGCCGCTGCATTTGTTGCGCCCACGGAATATGACGAGGGATTTGTGCACTTTTTACAAGATGTTTTGGCTGTGGTCGGAAACGTGCCAACGGCAGCCGAGTCATCGGTCTCCGCGAAGCTGCCAATTCTGACTGAGGCCAGTAAGGAAGAGGCCTCTTTACGGATACTTGAGCCCGCTAGAGACACGCTGGAACCTCTCATGAACATCGGCGGGCATCTTCGGACCGAAAAGGATATAGCGCTAATGTCGGACGTGCACATGACCAAGTCCCTTTCATCAATTGATTGGTGGAATCCCGTCCGCAAAGGCGGGGACGGCGCGCTGGTGAGGAAGGCTGTGGCAATGCCAAAGTGAAGAGGAGGGGTGTTCCAAAAGGGTTCTTTTATGTTTATCCATTACATTCTCCCAACTGGAAAAGGGTCCCAAAGTGACGGGTGAGGAAGGGAAGAAGAAGGCCCTAGTCCCGTATAGCAGCCACCTGTCTCGCTTTCGCTCATTCCGCTTCAGCAAAACTTACGACAAAGATATCAAATCTCTAACTTGGAGCAACAAGATCGATCCGTTTGTAAACTTGTGCCGTTTCGAGACAGAAGGTGGCGTGTGCCACGACGCCAGCTGCAAGGGGCAGCACTTTCGAGATATATCGATGACCGGTGAGCATAATAATGACAGGAGCTTTTCCTGTGGGCAAATTTAAAGCCAAGGGCGTCACGACTTACTGGGCCCGTTTACAGAGAAAGAGCTGGCCGTGGACCTGATCTCGTATACTGCGACTGACGCCGGCACGGGAGTTGACGCTAATCTAGCTCGCCTAAAAGACGACTTGCAGGCCGTAGGACACCAGGGTTCTCGCTTGGACCACCTTGCACGGGCCGTTGCCCATCATCAAAAGTCTGAAAATGCCGATGATATCGCATCTTTGTCCTTCGGGCGGCAGTCAGGGGCGCTTCCACGTCGAGTGTCAGCTTCTGACATGACAGTGTTGGTTGAAACGAGTGCGCCGGCTCCACCAAAACGTACACCAGCCCTTCCACCCGCGGAGCCGATACTAGTCAACGGGTTACGTGCATTAATTGACAAGGAAAAGCCCAAGCACGCTCGCTATTACAAAAGCGGAGTGCTTTCAGAAGACGATCTCCAAGCCGCGGCGCTGGCAAATCCCAAAAACGTTTCAGCATGGGTGGAATATGCCGTTAGCGTGCTCCCTGCTAATCTCGCGCTAAATGACCTGGCCCCTGGGACGCCCTTGTTGAACAAACCTCTCAACGTTCTTTCGCGAGCACTCCAGGAGAATCGCGACGCGGAGGAACTATGGGCATTCTACATGGAACTGTACGGCCGGGTTGGGACTCGCTCTGATGCGAGAGAAACCTTTGAGCAGGCTGTCCGATTCGTGAAGGGCGGCTGGACAATGTGGTGGCGCTGGTGTTCATGGGAGAAAGAAGTTGCTGCGAAGATCGACATTATGCATAAGATGGTTGCTGCCATCTTGGCAGGGAGTTACGAGTCGAAGCAAGGTCAGCAACAGTGTTCGAGAGCGCGTGTGTTACTCGAGCGTCTGTATGTTTTAACATGCAAGTCTTCCCCTCAGCCATTTTACTGGACGCGTCGCTGCACCTTACAAAGCTGTACATCGATGACGGTCGTCTTGAGGATGGCAAAGCATGGTTGAGGGCATTTTTAACAGCCACATCTTCCTCCATGTTGACGAAACTTCCTACCACCAGTAACGCATCCCTATCGCAATCGCTACCGACGGTTACGGTTTCGGACACTGTTGCCTCCGCTTTTCTTGAATCTGAGGACCTGTCGCTTGCCTGGATCCTCTTCTTCCATTTGGAGCATTTTGGTTCGCTACCTCATCAGGTTTTCCACACGTACCCGTACGCCTACCTTGTCCGGCGACAGATGTGGGAAATCAAATGGATGCAATGGGTGGCTCCGATGAATGATGAAGCATACGTGACACTTACTGTTGCCGCGTTTCGTCGCGTATTGAAAACGTGGAATCATCATGGAGGCAGGCAATCGGCGCATGCTTATATCGCATTAGAGAGGAACATGAGCAGCTTTCTCAAGACTTCGTTGGCCCTACCCATCGGCAGCTCAGCTCAGACTGCTCTTCATGCTAATATGGCAATTGCAAGCGATGTGCCTGGCGTTTGGGAATTGCCGTATATGCAGAATAAGGTGCGGGAAATAGGGTCTAAAGGAATGCTTCCGATGGTGGGTTTGCTTACCTATCCTTTTTCCACGAATGTACAGACGGCAGAGTCTTTGAGTGCTGTGAGGTCACAGCTTCGCAGTGACGCCCGCAGATATGCGCTCTGGAACCTGTACGTCAAGCTTGCGATATGCATTGACCAGTGGGAGGAAGCTCTTCTTGCGCTCGTAAACTGTGCGCGGTCGTTGTTCGCAGATCTGGATCCAGTGAGTGGGATCCCACCATGGGTGTTTATCGTCGATATGCTAAAGTGTTCTCGTTGGCAGTTAATTGATTGGAATGGTACTGACAAGGGCGAATCCGTCGACGATGCTCTGATATTATACCGCAAGGCGCTGGCCCTGCACGTTGAATCACTCCGGACGCCAGACCTGCACCCGGACCTCTCTCGTGGCGATCTCAGGTCAAACGTATTCTTATGGCTCAATTACCTTATGCTATCGTCAATTCGTGTTGTCGGCTCCCCGTATGAGAGTAATCAGGATTTGATGGGTGCGCTGGACCATGCCACTGAAGTCGTCAGGAATCCAGATGAGCGGAAGTTGCTGTGGATTGAGTGAGTGAAGTTAGCTTCTGAAAATGTTAAGCCAAGGCTGGCAATTTGTTGAAGCCTTCTCTTTTTTGAGGTATCTGAGGTTCGAGCTAAAGCTTCCGTCAAAGGACGCGGTAGCAACGCACACGTACACCGCGCGAGATGCGTTAGTTGTTGTCACGCGGGCGGTGAAGGACGTCAAAATCGATTCGTATGGTCATCCGGGGCTTCGCGGGTTGGAGGAGGCCGCAACAATCGATTTCACGAAACCGGTCCCGTTAAGGGTGCGGAAGCCATTTTCGCTCTGTGAAAACAGTCCTGCGGAAAAGTGAACGAGGTGCTTTTCATTGCCGAATCTGATCTCGCTCTCGATTGAAACAGGATTTGATTTTTGCTCAACGGCTATTTTCGGTCTTATCTGAGCACTTTCCGCGTGCGGAACTTTTCGAGATTGTGGATTTAGCTGCCGAAGGACAGCTACCTTTAGGTGCCATTCCTGCGTAAGTTTTAATCCCGCGTCCATGGAGGCTAAGAGGCTGGTTCCTCGGTCCCGCTTTGCTCTACCGATAACAATGGGCTCTCTACCTGCTGGCCCGGCGGGAGATTTCAAGTTCGTTTGTCGCCCGTGGAGGAGGTTTTCTCACTCCTGCTTCAACCGTGATTCCATCGGGATTTTTCTCTTATAGCATCGCAAAAGCAGCGACTTCTCCTGCCGCGCGCCTTAAAATTATGTATCAAGCGCTAACTTTGGATCCAACCTCTGCAAGCCTCTGGATCATGTAAGAAACATCTTCGACGGACTGCAGCCTACCCTGAAACGTCGGAGAGATCCGGTGCAACCTCTCGGGAAGCCTCCTCGGTCTCACCATTCGGCACGACTCAAATTGGGGCACATCCGCCTTTTTCTTACTTTCCCAGGATCATCGGTCTCGAATTTCTCCACGGCAGTCCAGCGCAAGCGCAGCTCATGTTCAGGCTTTCATCTAAGTACTTGCATCAAGCGCCGCGACCATCTGTGGAAAACTCACATCACAGGTGGGAGTGAAAAGACCAACTCAATTTTGTTACTTACTTTGATACCACCGGTCCATCAACCAAGCTTTTGCCAAAACGTTGCTCCTTCGGTCACCGACCACACTCTTGGAAAGAACTGAATTTCCCGCCCGCCGATCAAGCATTCGGGAAAAATGAAACCGTATGACCCAAGCAGCCCCTCTCCGCGTAGGGGCATCTTTCCCTATTCATATTTGATACCAAGAGCATCGTGCTGTTGCAGATATATTCAAGCGATATATTACGAGAACGCTAAACATACATCAAAAGGCTGCTGATATTTAATTTCATCAATGAGAAAGCGTCATTTTAAAAACCGCCCCTCGCACTTTGCCGGCCAGGATAGCTATATCGGCCGAGCAAAGTCCAACTTGATTCATGCCATATATGATAGCATATTCTATTTTCATTATCGAATCCCAGTTAGTATAGTGGCTAGTATCCCTCCCTGTCACGGAGGAGACCTGGGTTCAATTCCCAGACTGGGAGCACCTTTTTTTTTCCACATGGTAGCACTTATTTCGATCTGTTCAGCGTGCCGCCAGGAGAAGAAAAGTCCTTTTTTCATCTGGACCGTGTATTTTCTAACGCAATCCTGAACATTCTTAATAACATGCTTCCCAGTAGTCCATGAAGAGCTGCCGAAGCGCGGGTAAAGTATTGAACATAAAAGTTTTTGATCGTAACGGCGTTGACAGCATAAACACAGACCATCGCGGTCTCTCCAAAGGAAAGGAGTAAGTACGGCAGCAGAAGTCGAATTTCAAAATTTTGGCCAAAAAGCCGGAAGCGCGCGCGCGGGTTAGTCGTAGGGTCTGACGGTAGTGGTGCGGTCATTGCTTTTGTAGGCTGATTCAGGAGAGGCTGTGAGAATGGCTGATATTGCGTTACGTTCGCGCGACTTGGTTCAAATGTGTGTGTCGTGCTGTCGTTCTCAGATGCAGACATTGCCCTCGTCAGCAACGGCTCGGTTGGCTGTTTTACTCCAACACACGATGCAGATTGCAGATGTGTCGTAGTCGCTGTGTCCTTTTGGAGACAGGTAATCCATAACATCATTCTGGACGAGAGAGACAGATCCAGAACGGAACAGTAGAACCAGAATGTTGCGATCACAATGCTAAAGTACGTCCGGTCGAATGTTTGCGACAGCTGCCCGCCGATTGTGAGCAGACAAACGAGGAAGCACACCGACGGGTGAATAATGTAGAGCATCCGTAGTGTTGCGGCGGGAAATGGATGTATGAGATCGCGAAACATCTTCATGCGCTCAATAGCGCCCATCACAAAGAGCGCCGAGCAAGAATGAAGGGCGATGAGATCCAATATGCGAAGGATGCGGACAATGGTGGATTGACTCCAATTTTCAACATTGGGAGAGCGGTCGATGAGAAAGACCTCGGCGGTTGTGCAGCACAAGAACAGCATGCCAAAGACTTGTGTAATAATAAGATATCTAGTTGAAATGCCACTTCCTTCCACCTTTGTGTTTGTGGTGTGGTGTGTGAGTATGTGTGGGCGGGGTGGGATGCCGTGGTGTGGATGGATAAGATGGTTAAGAAGCAGCAGAGTGCCGTCCCAGAGGCTTCCCGCGGTTGCTTGCCTTGCTCAGTCGCCGCGCATAATACAGCAGTCCGGCAGCGATTGACGTGTTTACCAGCACACAACCGACATTTGCTATGGGGTCGCCGGTGAACATGTGTTTCTGCCAGGGCTGTCGAAAGTGGTTGTTGTGTGGGGCTCACCGGCTGTTGGTTGGTGTGACACCGGCGCCCGGAAGAAGGTGGCGAGGGAGCCGCCCGGTCCCGGTGTTTTCTTCCAGGTTATCTCCCTTCAGCCCAGCATCCTCCTGCCTACCCCCAACTGCTGCAGGCACTGCCGCCCTCGACTATCATCCCTTGCGTGCTATTGCATCCACTTCGTCGGCACTCGTGTCGCTAACCTGCAGAGAAGTCGACCTTTCGCCGGTTTTTTTTCGGCTTCTTCGACTTACCACCGTCTTTTCTTTCGGAATCACCCGCCTTCATTGACCTTGTCGAGGCCGGCCCCGTTTCTCTTTTTTACCACCGTTTCGCCACTCGCATAAGCGTAGCGAAGCCTTTGTAAAAAACGAGAAAGAAACCCCTTTTATATTTGCGCAAGAGGTTTCTTCCACATCAGATGGGCTACTTCTTCTTCACTTACGGTGGTCAACACGTCGGCTGCGATTGCGATTGAACAGCGGGGAACTGAAAAACCCCGGAACAAAAAAACGGAAAAATATAATACGAATATCTCTTTTACGAAAACTCTATCACCAAACAGCGTTTACGCCGAACGAACCCTGACACCAAACTCAGAACGCCCTGAGCCGCTGTATTGCAAGCGTTGTTAGACAACGAAAACTCGTCAATTTCCCTACTCGACAGACCATAAAGTCACCCTCTCAAATCAATTTTTTCTCTTGAAAAACGATACGGACTTTAGAAGTCCAAAGTGAAACACCTGCGAAATGTCTTACGAAGCTACACCATCTCCGATTTATGACCCGACCGAATGGTCATTCCCCATTTCGCAAAGCGTCCCGGAGTCCAGTCCATTGTGGACCGCTTCAGGTAAGCGAGATCGGCGAACCCTTAAAAAACTACCAAAAGACTAAGACTTTCCTTCTTTTTTTCGTTTGTTCCCTCCAGTTTCGGAACCTGTCAGTCCGATTTCTGGCACCCATTCTTCGCCGGCACAGGACGTTGCTCTCACTCCCCCTTCGATGGACTCGGCGGCCAGCTTCTTCCCCATCGCTGACCCGACTTTCGGTGCTCTCAATGAAATCATTTACTCCCGTTCGTCGTATGAATTTTGGCCAACAGGCTCTGACAACATCTCGCAGTTGCCATTTTTCGACAGTCTGCCCCGCTTTCCGACTGCCTCTGAAGCGCTTCCGCAATCAGCAGACTGGCCGCTCGGCATGCCTCCTTTTTGTGAAGATACTGCCCCCGGAACGCTCACCGAGAAGCTCGGAATTGATTTCAAGCAGCAGTATTTGGCTCAAGAACAGTTCCTTTACGATCCTCTCGCCGCGTCGGCAGCGGCCGCTGCTGCCGCTGTCGATATGGCCGAAAGTCTCGTGCGTTCGGCATTTGCGCCGTCGGCCGAAGCTGGCGTTTCGTTGTTTGCTCCGGTCTCACCTCCTCCTTCTGGCCGTGGTAGCACCAGCGATGATGGCGTTACCGAACCGCGCCCTTTGACCAAGGCGGAAAGGAAGAAGTTGCGGGAAAACACCCGTAACCTAACCTGCCATAACTGTGGGACGCATAAGACACCCCTCTGGAGGCGCACCGCGGACAAGCGTCATAGCGTGTGCAACGCATGCGGGTTGTATTATAAGCAATATCAATGCAACCGACCGATCTCGGTTCGCGCACCGCGTGAAAGTGTTATGAACGGCGGCGGACCGCTCCGTTCTACGGTCACGCGACCCGCTCGCGCAGCTCTTAACACGTCGGCAGTTTCCATTGCGCCGGCTGTTTGCAACCCCGCCGTTGTAGGCTCCCCGTCAGCTGTTTCTTCCTCGACGGCTTCCGCTTTGTCGACAGGAAACGTGGCCGATGCCACAATCAAGTCTGAGCTCATGCCCGCAGCGATGCCTCCCGCCACGGTCAAGTCTGAGCTTGAGTCTGTAGCGACACCTCTCGCCGCGGTCAAGGCCAAGACCCAGCCTGCAGGAGCGAGGGTCAAGCGGAGGGCTGCAGCTGCTACCACCGGTGCCGCCGCCACCACGACTTCGCTCCACGCTGGAAACGTCGCCCACTTTCGCAGCCGCGTGGCACAGCTTCCCATTGCCGATGCGCAGCGCTTGCTTGAAACCCTTGAATGCCAGCTTGCGTTTGTCAGGGACTACTGCGCTGCGAGCGGGACCGCCGTGTGCTGAAAAGCGGCTGGATTCTTCCTTTTTTTTTCTTCTTTAGACCACTTTCTTCTTTGCATATGAAGCTCTATCCTGCATCTGCTTTTCTTTCCTTTGTGTATTGTTTCCCTCCTTTAGTTTTCCCCAACTCCTTTGATATGTTTAGTCAGAAGTAAGAAAAAACGACCCTTGTATCTGAAACGCCGGTTGCGGAGATTTTCTCATATTACAAGATTTGGAGTGCATCGGCCTTCTCAGCTATGCTTCTATCTACTGGAGCTGACTACACCCTAGCTGCGGTGTTGTGATGGGTTATGCGTACGCCACAAAACTTAACAAAGCGACGGCGGACCCAGTGGATGGCTCGATGAGTTATGCACTACCGCCGCTCTCGACTGCAGCGGCGCGGTCGAATACTCGGGTATCGTTGTTACTGTTGCTACTTGCAAGATCTAGTGAGCTGCGGCGGATGAGGTCAACGACTTCGGCTTCTTTTTTGTCGATTTCAAGCGCGAGGAGAAGGGTATGGCCGGGCGGTGCTGCTGCCGCCACTGGTAGTGTTGGCGGTGTGAGATGTGGGGAATGCCCCGATGGCCGGTCGACGGTCGGGACACCGGTATTTGCGCCCGCTGTCGCAAGGCTGAGTAGCGCGGCAACCCCAGACACGTCGTCTGGATCTAATTTCGCAATTGACGGCGAGATACTCGTCGTGTCCACGTCCAGGTCATCGTCGTCGTCGTCTTCTTCTTCATCATCCTCATCCTCTTCATCCTCTTCTTCGGCCTCTTGCCCGTCGCCGCCAACAAACCCTCCTTTTTGAGACTGGTCGTCGGCTTCGCCATCGGGGCTGGAGGTAGGTCCTGGTGTGGCATTCTCGTCATCCATCTCCATGAGAGTATACACAGACGCAACTTCTGCTGCTGTGTCTGCTGCTGACGCGTCTACAACGGCCCCTTCGAAGCCGATTGTACTCTCTGCTGCCTTCTCCGCAGCGCCGGCAATCTCTGACCACCACGCAAGATCGTTCGATGCAGACAGCGGTCGGTAGCCCTCTGGCGGCGCATACCGAAACTCTGGCCCAAAATTCAACGTGACGCTCGCACCGCGGTACAGTGATATCGCCGGATGGTATTTGCCACGCGGAATGTCCCGAAACGCCACACCCAAACACTCGCCATTTCTCCAAAACCGAATCTCGCTGTCCTGAGCAATGGTCAGCGGGCGGGACCGGAACGGCATGTACGGTGAGGTGCGGTCCCACAGTCGCGGGAGGAGATCTGCGATGCTGTCTGTCACGGGTAGGTCAATTGACATGCCAAGGACGTCGCCGGGACCATAGCCCGCTGCGTACGGTTCTGGCATGTCCTTTTTCCGGTGACTCTGATGGAAAAGGGTGCCTGGCGAGTCGCGAAATCCAAAACTGAACTGATCATATCCGCATGGAGCTTGCAAGTCTCCGCTGATCTGCGACCACCCAATGCGCGTATGGCCCGGGTGATCGTTGATAATGGCCTCGTAATACCATTTTCCTTCCCACACACCGTGCGTGGCTTTTGCCATGCAGTAGCCAGCATCGGTTGTGACGGTTAGCCCGTCGGTGACATTG